AGTACTTTTCATGCTCAAATTATGTGTTTTTTTGTATCTTTAATGTGCTACTTTTTCATTAACCTTAATTACAAGTTTCCTTGGTTTATCATTTTTAGTTTAGGAGTAATAATATTACTCTAAAGTCATCTGGAAAAAATTGTCAAGATTTTACTCTACATTATGAAATCCATTTTCAAGTAGTTTTGTCAGTGACTAATTCTCAGCATTGGTTGAAACAGCTTTTGCGGAAAATTAGATCTTTATTAAATGCACATTTTTAAACAAAAAGACTGATTTCTGGGGAAAATCTTGTTTTCTTTTAAATTAACTAATTAAATTCTCAGAAATAGTCTCTTAGCCAAAACCAGAAAAGCATCAATTTGGAAATATTCCCATATCTTCCTATGGGAGCTGTAGCTCAAATAATTTATTGTCCTCTGTTAGGAGTTGCTCTCTGTAAGGAGACTGCAACTCCAAGGAAGCAGTGCAGGCCATCGACATGACAGGAGATTGACAGACATACTCACAAGCCAAACCTGAAACCTCGGGTACAGCTCCAAGGAACCAGCAGGGTGACATTTTCTAGAGTCTAGCTTTTGGAACTCTTGGGGAATAGGCTTGGGAAATGTGGCTTCCTCTTGTATTCCAAGATTCTACACCATCTCCTGCAACATAAAATTTCCAAGAGCAACAGAATAAAAATTACTATCAACTTGTCTTTCTCCTTACTTCTTTGAAACTAGCATTATTCACACACAGGAACATGGGAACTACATAAGGTTTTGATATTGTGGGAGTTTGGCACCACATAGTACTGGTCCCACTATCTTCTAGAAGTGTCATCTGACAGCTAACTTAATCATGTTATACCTGGTGTCTGCACATTTGTTTGACTATACCAATTAGAATTTATATAATCCTAAACTATATTGTAAAGAAAGTTCACCCCTCAGCACAGTTTAGTAAACAGTCTTATCTTACCTTAGGCTTCCACTCTTTTCCATTCAACATATGGTTTCACTTTGAAAGAGAAGACTTACAATAAATGGTATCATCAGTAGGTTGATAAATGCTGTAATTTGTAACATGACATGTTTGAGAAAGATTTCCCATGCCTAGTCAATGCTTAATTGCTTTCTAAAATATTAACTTTTGCTACATATTTAGGCATTGAGTACTGTATATAGGAAAAGAGATTATGGTTCTTTCCCATCTCTCCAACAATTTTAGTTTTTCATTTATTTTACATGTACATGCTGGTTTTTGGATACTTAACAGAGATGCTACCCTCAACATCCTTTCACTTAAGAGACAAATGGAATCTTAACTCTACCTCAATGGCCCTGGGTTTGCTGCTCTTGTAATGTGGCACATCAAAAGTTCTGAATAGTGGAATTTACATTTCACAGTGCAAATGTAGTGGAATCACCAGGCCCTACACTGGGTACTGCAAGGTTCCTGAAAACCTTCGGCCCAGATGAAGACTTGGGCCTGCCTGTATGAAACATTTTGCTTGGAGGTCAGATGAGGCACAGAGGTGACAGAAATGCTTGAGGTTTCTGAGGTTCCTTGTGACTTTCTTCTTTTTGTGACATCACCAGAATACATACAGTTTCCACTTGAACCATCAGTGCTTTTTGCCTGAAATAGGTCACTGCAGTGAGACTATTTCTCTGTGGTAATTATGGATGTATCTACACAGCTCCCAAAAGAGACAAACAACACATATCTTCAGCATAACAAGGCTAGTGCAGGTCTATGCTCAGTTCTTTTTCTTATTGACATGAGTCTGCAAAGAAGTGCTCCCAGGAAAGTGCTCAGGTAAGTCATATATAGAGTAGTATGAAGACTGAGCACATCGTAGGGCTTGGAGTATGCCTGGTGATGTACTGCCATGACCTGTACACATGGAAAAGGATTAAAGTTCTATCAACACGCTGACGTGGGAGGTTTATGACTAAGTCAATCATCCTGTTTAAAAGGCAAACTTGCACTCATCAGAAAAACATACAAAGGGGCCACTAGTAGTGCCTGGAGCCAGAAATTTTCAGCTTCTGCTCACACAGAACAGCTGGCAAAGACAGATTCTGAAAATGAAACAGAGGCAAGACAGGAGATGATGGGACTAGAAAACCAGGAATCCCTTCTCCAGGTAGTACAGGATTCTAAGTCTAGCAGAAATCATCAGCCCACCTCTGGCGATGCAAACCTATGCCTGAGGATAGCAAGTCCTGGATCATTTGGCAAATTAAGAGCCAAACCTTAACCAAGCTTTTTATCAATCTTATCACTTTATTAAATATAATTACACTAGGATAATAAAATAAATTAAATATATACAAAATATAATAAATATAGCATAATAAAGAGATTAAATATAACTATAATATAACATTTGATACAATATATAATAAATAAATGATGAATATAATAACACTAAGATACATTTTGTGACACCCTCAGGTGAATGAGGTCAAATACAAATGCTGATACTGAAGGTATATGCCAAAGAAATTATATTTGGGGGTGTTCCAGCATCTTGGGAAAGAAGCAATTTCCCATGTAACTGTCATTCTTGCACATTTTTTGGCATGTGACCATAAGAGCACTGAAAGGCTTTTTCTTCTATGTCCCCAAATCAAAGATTTACCAGCTAATAGTGGAGACATTTGGACATCCATATATAATGGAATGAACATTTTCTCATTCAACTTCTTGACAAGAGTATAGCATACCAAGCTGGTATCATGCTTTATTCTGACAAACTGACATATAAACTTGGGAAGGCACGGCACCTGGAAAAATCCAGATTCACTGTCAAATTCTACAGCTTCAAAATCAGCCTGAAACTGAACAGACAAGTGGAAATTGGATATAGACTGATGCCTGTTTATTAAGGGCTTCTCTGCTTTTCACTTTTCAGTGCATAATGAAAACCAGTCTCAAAAAACTACCATTTAAGAGGCCTATGTATAAAGATCACATGAATGAACAGCTCATTGCGAATTCAGTAAATTTGAATCACTTTAGGTTTCTTTTCCTTATTCTAGGATCTTCTGTTTGTTCTGTCTGGCCATTTCTAACATGGATTTTGCTTCTTCATTCCATGTACACTTCAAGTTTGGAAGGAAATCCAGGGAATCAGGTGTCCAAGTAGTAGGATCAGTCTTGTCATAGTAATTTCTTGCAGCAACAGTGTCTTCAGTTGACCAACATTAAACTTTCTCACAGTTCTTTCCTGCTTAGTTGCAAACCTGTTTAGCCTGTGCAAAGTGCAAAGGTGTTGCTTGTAGAAGTGAGGGGCTTAAGAGTCTTATGCAGCCCAGCTCTATCAAAGGTTTTAGGAAACAGCCCCACTGAGATTAATGCCCATGTTCATGGACATATGTTCTACATGTTTGATAAAAGCCAGGCTATCTGCATATTGCCTTTCAGAACTAATATCATAGTTCTGGTAGTTCTCTGCCAGGAGAAATGGAACACATACATTTTGGCCATTGCACTGGTTTGCAAAAAAGGTGTAAGTCACAGATCCATTACAGAACTCCTAAACATTTCCCACACAAGCAAATAAGGAGTGAATAATTGTATTTGAATTCCTTTTTTTTTTTTTTAATTTCCATGGGTTTATATAAAAAAACAATTGCTTAAAATTTGGATCATGTTTTTTGAAACTTTGCAAATCCATATGGTTGTTTTTGTGCTTTTGCTTTTTTGTACTCTTGGATTTCAACATCAATTGTTCCTATGGTAATGTTCAACACCGTTGTCTAAACACAGTCTGGTATCTCCTCAAGTGTGTTTTGGCACAATGACTTCTTTCAAGTGATGTAGGTTTGGGTTGTTTTGGTATGGCTTTGTCTTTTAGTATGTCACTACTTAAGCAAATGGCTGAGACTGTAGCTTATTACACACACTAAATAAACAATCAGATTTTTCTTTTATTTTGTATTACCCAACTCTATGTTGACATCTGTTGTCTACAAGTACACTGAGCCAGTACCATCTTTCCTCTATATGTTTGTCATTAATTCAAAGAGGCACTGAGTCACTGCTGAAACTTTTAGCATCTAATTCAAAGTTAACATGAAAAAAATAGTATTTTTTTACTTAACATCTGGCCAGGACACATATATTGTGACTGTAATACCTTTCAGTGTCAATCTTAAATAGTATTTAAGATTGAAGTGCAACTAATTAAAACTTTGTCTGTCCTTCAGATGTCTTTCCTGCTGTTGTGTGGGGATAATGACATACTAGCTTCTCACTTCAGTGGCCAAACTAAACAAATGGAAAATAGTTCTGGTTTGGGTAGAATGGAAAACATCTTAGTCAACTCTAAACAAAAGAGTTTATTTTTATGTCTTTTTACGCATCACCTGGAAAATCAAGTTTTGAATGGAAATGTAGCTTCACAACTATAGTTTCGTCCTCGTTTTGTAGCAACAACATGCACAGTCCTTTTACATATTGTTTTCAGGTATCCAGAAAGCATTTCTTATTAAGCGGCGTATAACTTTGTTAATAATTATTATGTTCTGTGAGCATGTTTTTCAGGAAATCTATTACTTGCTACGAATACAGCTCCGCAGTCTGCTGGACTGTAAGAAGGGGAAAACCATTTAATTTTTCTCCCTGTGCCAAAGAGGAACTCCCTGGAGTTTTATTTATTATCTTCTGATGAGGGGATTAATTTTATATTCAGCCGTCCGGCGCATCTCCTGCTCAGAAGCAGCTTCGCCCGGGCCCGCCGCCGCCACTGCGGAGCTGCCCCGGGCACGAGTCCCCCGCCACCCCGCTCTGCGAGGGGCGGGCGGGGATGCCGGGCCACCGCCCTCGGCAGTGCCAGCCTCTGCCTGTGCCCGGCCCCTACGAGCTGCCTGCTGCCGGCTCCTTTCTCCCGCTACCGATACCGGCACAGCCAGCGGCACACCGGGCCCGCGGGCCGTGCCTCCCGCCCCGCCGGGGCCCGGCCCGCGCTCCCACACGCCGCCGGCGGGGAGACAAGATGGCGGCCGTGCCGCGCCGGCGGCCGCGCTCCGCGCTGCGCCCGGGCTGCCCGCCGCACAACAGAAACCATCCTCTTGAGCTCTCCTGCCACGGAGTGGCTGCTGTGGAGAACTGCCGGAAACCGTGCGCCTGGCCTCGGATAACTCGGAAGGTTTGAGGCAGGTTTACTTCCCCGCCCTGTTGTGGTTAGTTGGAAGTACAAACCCACCCCCACCCCCCCACAGCCTCAGCTCCGGCTCCGTCCAGGCTCGCACATCGACACAGTCCGGAGCCCAAGTTCCTCGGCTGTTCTTTTCTTTTAGGGGGAAATAAACACTAAGAGCGATGAGTTAGATTTATTCCAACGCTGCTGTTGTCTGTTAAACTGGGCACGGGAGCAGCAGGAGCGGCGGGTGCTGGTGTGAGGCGACAGGAGCCGCACAGAGCAGTGCGCCCGTCAGGGCTGCCAAGGCCGCCTCCGCTCCTTCGGCGGCCCTGCAGCGGTGCTGAGCAGCGCTGCGCTCTGTGCGCTCAGAGCCCGCTCTTAAATGAGAAATGGCATTGCATGGCACCGACGCCACTAGCGACTGCCGCAGCTGAAAGCAGAAACAACGGCTGTCAGGGAGTCGTCGGCCAAGGAGAGCAATTCCTATAGGTAAGTAGCCCTACATCGTCTTCCAGGTGATTCAAAGGCAGTTAGGCCTTCTCAAATTGGTTTGGCAATTTCAGCACATGTTGCTGCCTTCAGTCAGGTGAGAGAACCTGCTGCTTCCCTCGTTGCAGAGGGCATGAATAAGGATGCTCTTTTGATTTGTAATTTACAGAACTGGATTTATGGTGTCCACAGAGCCTTTGGTAAGGAGCCATCTGATGCATTTGTCTGATGAGTGGAAACACTCAGATTTAATCTGTATTTTGACCTACTTCAGAACAGACTTTCTGGGAAATATTTCTCTTTACCAGCCCACCTCCTCCTACCTAAAGAAGATAAACAGAGAGACTACATTAGGCTAGTTCAAATTTACCCCATTGTCCAGGAAGGCTTTTAAGCCAGTGTCTTGCCTTCCATCCCATTTCTAATACTACTTGGCAGAATGAATTCCTGATCTTCCCTGTAAATTAATTCTCTCCATTTAAGGTCACAAAATGTGCAGTCAGGGTGATATTAATTTTAATTTATATGTCCAAGAAAAGTACAGTTTAAAAATATGACTTAGTAATGCCATTTCATTGCTGAAAAAATTTATTTTCCATGCTACTTGAAAAGGAAGACTGATGGCCAACATTTCAAATACACATGTGCAAAACAGATGGTTTCTGGGTTGACTTCTCCGTCTTTCTAGCATCCAGATTGACAAGAGAGACACTTCCAATCATTTTTATCCTTGAAATAAACCCTTAGAACCTGTTGAGACCCTCTTTTCAAGTACTACTCCCTAAGGATCATACCCTGTATTACTGAGGAGTCTCATTTATTGCCCATTGAAGCCAATGGCAAATTTTCCCTTGACTGACCCAGTGGTCAGAGATAAGGGCCTGGCAAGGAGCAGGCCTCTGTTCTGCCAAGTTTCAGATAAAGACACACAATAAAGAGGTAACACCTCTCCCAGACGACTTAGAATCTAAGGTAAGAGGTAACATTAACCTGCCATTTCCTAATGTTCCCAACAAACAGTTTGAGAATTCATAAATTTCAAAGACTTCACTGCAAAAAAAAAAAAAAAAAAAAAAAAAAAAAAAACCCACAAAAAAACTTCCATTTTAACATACAATTATAGAAGGGTTGAAGCATTACTGGGCTGATGAAGTTTGCCTAGGGCATTCTCTCCCCCATTTAGTGATGATTCCAGCATTAGCTGAGAAACACTTATTAGCACTAAAATGAACTTTGAAAATATTCCTTTTTAAATGGATACACTAAGCCAAGCACTTCCCATGTTGCCTTTGCTAATTCTGGAGCTAAGTGTATTTGAAGAGAAATATATCTCCTTAACCTTTGTTTTCTCATTTGGCTGAGCCTACAGTGATCCTGTGATCCATGTTTGCAAAATGAGCTTTGCTGCTAGAGTTTTACTGCAGGGTCAAGTATGTTGCAAAAGTATGTAGAGAGAAAGCCAAATCCTTCTTAAAACACAGATGTCTTAAATTTTCCAGATGTCATCTATGTTTAGCAAATATGTTGGGGAGCTGGATGCTGATGGATTGACCATCGGTGATCAACCTTTCACTGTTAGACCACTGGTCCTAAAGAAGCACAGAACTGGGAGAATTACCAATTACAGGTTTGTATTTGATTCTGTGAAATATGCTTGCTGGACATGACCCATTTCACAGTGAACAAATCTGCATTTCTTAAGAACCTGCAGTACTATAAGAACTCATTATCACAAATACCAATTTATACAAACCCTTTTTTCTTTCTGCATCAGATTCTTTAGATTAAGTTTGGGAAAGAAGCATTTATTGTTCTGAAGCTGCACTTCTGCTGCTGCTAAGCAGTTCAGGAATACAAAAAGGAACACCCAGTAATGGCAAGAAATTTAGAAAAGAAGAAGTCAGCCAGAACTATTTTATGGAGATTAGACCTGGGGACACCACAGACCTTTAGATCTCCGTGATAGGGAAGGAGTGTGCTATTTACAGTAAGTATTTGGAAAGCTCTCTCAGCTTCCTTGAGACTGAGAAATTTGTTTGGCAATATGGACTGTGCTATGACATTCTTTGTACTTCCCAATGACTGCTGGGGTTTTTTCGTGATTAACTTTCTGGTGAGCACTAAACTTAGAAGATTACTCTTATAATAACTAATAATTTCTTTCATTTGAGTTATAACTCTCTTTAATATAAAAGTTTCCTTTATTTATATTTTTCCTTTTCAAATATTCTTTTCTGCTGTTTTAAATTACATTTTTCCTACTAAGTATGACTTTCCACTGTTTATTTTAATTGTCATGTTTTACTGGCTTATAATTGCTTTTGCAAGACTATGTTTGGCAAGCATTGTTTTCCTACACTTATAATACACTGGTATCATAATGACAACATGATCTTATTTTTGAAAGAGTGAGCCAGTAGGCTCTCTAATAGATAAAAACCTTTTTACAGACTAATATTGTCCTTTACACCAGTGTTTGATATCAGAAATTGAAATTCTGAGATCAAAAGTCCTTTCCTGGCTATGTCAGAGACATTTTTGGTGAATTAGGGACAATAGTTTTCACCACATTATCTCGTTTTCACCATCATACTGAGCCTGTCTGGTTCTCAGGCACATTGGAACTCAGCTTACTGACATTTTCAAAATAGTTTAACATATTTGCAAGTGTTACTTGCAATTACTATTAGCTCTATGAGCTGAGGATTGTAATATAGAGGTGTTAAGATGTTCTAACGTGTATGTTGTGGGAACTGTAGAAGGCTTACCGCTGTTGTGACTTTTGCAGTTCTGTTGACTTAAGGGGCTGTTCCGTTGTTTATAAACATCTATTTTTGTATGTTTGTATATGTGTACGTTAATATGTACAGGGCATATATTGGCTCTGCAAGGCAGTAGTGTCTCTGTGGGTTTTATTCCTTCAGTTTCTGCTTCCACCTGCTGAACTTCCTCATTTTGCACTTTGTTCCAGGATATTTGCCATGGATGACCAAGTATTTCCTGGTTTTATTACCATGTATTTGAAGCTCTTTCCTTTGCAACTTGCGAGGGCATCACCTGTGAATAAGACTTTCCTGTGGGTTTGGTAGAACTGCAGTCATGTCAGCAGTGTATTACTGCACAGCTGTTTATGGTACAGCAACCTGCTTGTCCACACTTGGCTCCCTGTCCTGTAAGAAGGAGAAAATGCTGAGCATTCAGAGCTGACTGATGCTGTGATCTTTATTCACTGTCTATAGAAAGATAAATAAGGATACTCCTGAAAGAAATGACATCTTTAAAAAAATAGGGATGTTACTTATATTCTTTAGATTTTGTTCTTTTCTACATCTGGCCTGGAATATACAAAGCCTGCCATAAGTCCTTCAGAGGGAATAACATACCTCATACCAATTAACACTATGAGCAGATGATTGCAAGCAGATGTGTGAGGACTGCTGACCCCTCCATTCAGCTGGCTGTGAGCACCCATCTTACTGTTTCCAAGGTGAAATGAGATGTGTTCACTCCCCAGGAGGAGAGATTAGCAGCAGGCAGCTCTGGTTGTCAACATTTTTAAACTGCTGCTGCTGGCCTTCACAGGGTCAGAAGCAAAATGCAGGTGAATTTCAGCTCTGTAGTGATTCAAGCTGTTGAGGTAAGTCTGCTAGTTCAAGGGGTGAAAGGAGACAGAGTCCATAGCCTTTATTCTCAGGGGGATCTGGGTATCAGGAAGGCATTACCAGTATCAAATTTAAAATGTAATGATTTTTTTTTTCTGTGCTAGTAACCTTAAGGTACATTAATGCCCATTTGTGAGGCTGACTATTGTTTTGATTTTGGTGATGACCACATGTTATTTAAAAAGTAGATTTTCATAGGCATAGAATAATGGATTTTCTTTTATATGCCCATTCTTTATTGAAGTAATAGTATTATTAAATATCCATTTTGTCTGTTGAGAGAAGTTATCACACAAACCAGTTTGTGGTATGTGATTTACAAAATTTTTGAACTGAAGCATGTGATTTTGTGAACTGAACAGAATTAATTGTGATGGGTAGTGAGTGATAACAATATTTGTGTTCAGGCATATACTTGTCACACAATTTTTCTATGAAAAATGTAATTGGAAACATGCACTTTCTGTTGGACCTGGCATCCCAGCATAGTCCTGGGCAATAAACTCAAGGTGGTCCTGCTTGAACACAGGTGTTGGACAGATGCCCTTCAGTAGTCTCTTCCAAATATAGCCATTCTGTGATTCTGTAGTCAGAAGTCTTTGGGTGTATTTTGAGTGTGAATTCAGCTTGCCATGGCACTGACCTCATCACAGTTTCTTTTCTGTACCAGCAGCAAGCTCAGTAGCTATCAGTCTTGCACTCTGATTTTGATTATGAAACTTAAATTTCCACCTTGAAAATACATATTTTTCATCTTTGATTAATTGCAACCTATGACTCAATTTGGTTCTCAATATTCTCCACTCATAAATTTGTCTTTTTGCATAAAACACATAACTTGTCTATGTTAACTTTACACTGAAGGTAATGATGTATGATTGGTTGTTTTCACTACAATTATGGCCTCTCTGATCCCAGAATTGCTACAGCATGTCTGCTTTTAAAGAAAAAACAAAAAAGGTGTATACCAAGAATTTAACCAATTAAATCAGTTATTCATCTATGAAATCTGTGAAGTATTTGACCAGTTTAATTGCAAAGAAAGAATAGCAGAAGACTTCTCAAGGTAAAACATTTTTCTAAGAAAACTAGCCTTTATTTATATGGCATAAATGAGGAGAATAATATGGAAATGAGAAGCTTTTACTGATGTATAACTCTAGAGGGCTTGTTCCCAACAAAGAGATCATGAGCAACACCCATTCTTGCACCTTCCATTTTAAAATGAAACGGGACAGGTGGCACCCAGTTTTTCCCAGTGCATATGTGATTTGCATGAGTTATAAATTAGTTTTAATGACAGTGCTGACACACTTGTTTCACTAATTCTCTGTGTTACCACAGGTCTTGTGGGACTGTTTAGATACCCTATCTATCATTTATACTTTGTTTTGTCTGCTAGGCCTCTTTTCAAGTCTCTCAAAATTAGAGACCATTACAAGAGAAATTACATATTTAAATAAGACTTCATTCACTCTCATTTCTTCATTCCTGATACAGTATTTTTAAGTTCAGTGCTAAGAAACTTGCTGATAGGTAATTGAAGGTGAAGCAAATAGTGGCAGGTGGGAGCTGTTTTATTTCAAAGAGGTGAGTTGCAGAATAGAAAAAGTATGGAGTGGGAAGCTGAAACTTCCAGATGAATGTATTGAACATGTGTTGCCCAGAAAAGAATGACATTTTAGGGCAGGCCAACATTTTACAGTAGGCCAAACAACTTTGAATTGTAACCCTGGAGTTTAGTTGCAGCTACTTGAATTTGGCTGGGATGTTACCAGTGAATATTCTTGTAAGCATGCAAAGGGATGTTTTTAAACAGAATCAACAAAGCTTTGATCTTCTGTATAATCAGAATACTTAAATCTCCAGCGGGGGGTGGTGATGGTGCTGCTGTTTGTTTATGTTCAGGCATTTCAGTTTCCTGACTAGGAGAATAATTAATGTGCTATTTCCTTGGAGATCTTTCAGAATTCTGACAAGATTCTATCTCTTTTGCCTTGAGAAGCTTTTAAGTGATGTAGCTATACCCTAATACAACTAATCATTCGTTTTTCCTGTTAGTGTATTTTCCTGAAAGTTAACTTGCATGATTTATAGATTTATTTTTGTGTCACTACTGATGTCTTTTTATTTTCCAGAGAACGATCGTTTCGCTGTGCAGCGCCACCTAGTGCACAGAGCTGCTGCTGCATGCAGGAACAGCTGCGACGCTTGGCACGGCCGGGAGGGATGAGGAGCCTTTCCCGGATAGCTCAAACAACGTTACTCACATCTTGAGAAAAATAAGCTTTTTTAGTTCCAGCTTTCCTTCTCCAACATATGTGTAGTATTTGCCTTTTCATGACTTTAAATTCATTCCTGGCTGAAGTATAGTCTACTCTTACTTTCTTGGAAGTATGCATAATAGCTACGGGGCCATTATATTACTACCTATTGATGCTTAATGTGTTCTTTTTTTCAGCACAAGTCTATGGTTGCTGTTTGCAGTATAGGAGGCCACAAACTGGAACCCCACATTTCCAAGGTGTTTCCAAACACCAAATTTTTGCCACATGGTAATTTCTGTACTTTTTCCACATGGTAATTTCTCTCATTTATGGAAATGAGGTATGTATACAAAGAAAGTAATTTTGAATTTAAGTGTAATGTAACATTTTCCTTTTTTTTCCCCCCTTAAGTGGTAAAGTAAAGATGTAAGTAGTCCAAATCTTCTGTTATAAGTGTTTTGGCAAAGTTTCGGAGGAACCAAGCTCAAAATTATTACTTTCACGCATTTTCACTGTTTTGCAGGGTTTGTACTATTTCTATCAGTGGTCTCATTTAAATTGTGAAACTTTCTAAAATAAGATCATAAGATATTCATCTTCTGTACCATAAGTAGAAATTGATATTTAGTGTGAAAATCCTTCATTTTAGGATTTCATTTTAGGTATCTTCAGAGACTACTGAAGATGCTGTTTGTAAATCAGTTTTTGTTACAAAGAAATCTCAAATCGACAGTGAGATGTTTCTTTATAAATGATGTTCTGTGTTCAGTCAGTTTAGCCTATGCACAGTAGTTTACAGACAATCATGAAAATAAATGGCACTTTTACACTTGATGAAGTAGACAGGCACTCTCTTCAGAAAATATTAACTAAAAAGCAGTCTCTGCAGTGGCTCTGCCTCTAAGTATATGTAATAATTTATGCTATTTATTTAACAGGTATGGCTATCTAGTGACAGAGGCACTTTATTTAAATTATTAAATCTTGAAGATGAGAACATTGTAAAAGCAAATATGTGTGTACAGTCATTCAATCACCTTCATGAGAGATAAGGGAAGCCTTTTCTTCCCTAAGGCAGGTGCAGAATTTAAACCTGCTTTTGTCACAATGTGTGGTATGATAGCCACACAAAAAAGCTCCTGCATTAGCCAGTCTTCACACATACTTGGTTAATACTGTTTTACCATAAACATGTTCTCTACAGCAACATTAATTCTTCCTGTTAGTAAGTTCTGAGTGAAGTTCCACGTTAGAATACTTGATAAAGAGACAAGATTTGTAGAAAGCAGTAGTAATGTCCTTAATTACTTGTGTAGTTGGCAGAATCAAGCACAATCTTTCACCTAATTGAAGAGCAGCAGGCACCCAATAAAGTATTACAGTGATACCAACACACAAACAAGGAAAGTGTAGTCTGTGACAGTGCTAAGCATGAGCAGGCATGCTTCATTACTTGCTGAGAGGTCATCAAAGGACATAGCAAGCTCATCAGTCATATACCATATATTCCTTGTTCATCTGCTACAGAATGCAGATGGCTGTAATTAAATAACTCGTGTATTGTCACTGTATGAATTGAATCATGACAGAGACGGTCCTTTCTCCCCTTCTGTTTGTTTAAGTGTGCTAAGTGTAACATATTAGCATAACATTGGCTTATATAGATGATATCAGGAAAGTATAGATTTAATTCAGCTGTATTTTAATTCATCTCTTCACTTGACAAAAAACATCCTGTGTAAGGAGAGAACTCTTTAGAAGTCACTTTCTGTAACAGCAGAGTGATTCACCAATCCAAGAGCTGATTTTAACTGACTGTTTTGGTACTATATTTTGCCATGAAAGAGAATAAAATGTATCATTATTTTATGAAGAGGTTCTTTTCTTCCCCTTGCCAATTTGCTCTGAAAGTGTTTCTTTAGGTGTATACCAAAGCAAGAGATCTGATTGAAGTACTGAACCTCAATTCTACTGTGTATCATCTTAAGCAGAACAACTTTTGCTTCTCTTCATGTGATTATTTATTTCTAATTTGTTGTCTGTATTTCAATTGTGTATGTTTGGAAATACTTGCCAGATCTGAGACTAAAAGCGTTGTCAGTTTGTACTGTGATCATTTGGGAGCTTTGCATTTAACTATTTTAAATAAGTCAAAATCTGATAGGCTCGAAATAAAGAAGCTAAATGTTTTAAAATCAATGGAGGTGAGCTGTCAAAAAAAATCAAGGAAGTATTATAAAGTATCCTTTAAATCTGCAAGGAACAGTTTGCTTGTCATTGTACACAACTTCAAGAAGATTTGATTTCTTCAAGCAATTGATTCAAAAATATCCTTATTGTATGAAGAAATGCCAGGCCATTGCATATATACAGCTTTGTGTACATTTTAAATGTATAAGCTGGACTGTGTGACAACAGGAATGCAGTCAGAGTAAAATTCAGGTAAGAGACACCTATGAAGCCTTTAGGCTCCATTCTACTACAAAGAGACTGATTTGACCTCTGTATTTAGAGCCCGTCTTCAGTCTCCTCCAAACTGAGTGTGCTTGACAAGGCTTTTTCATCCAGCCCCTGTGGCCAGGTTACCCTTGCTTAATGCAGAGAGCTGTGAGTGTTCACCTGACCCTTGGAACACAGCTTGGTGTTGCTGCATAGGCAGACAGTACTGTATATGAAAAATTACATTTCTGACTTACACCTTTTCACGTATCCACATTGAATTTCACCTGCTCTTTTATAATCCGTCTCATTATACCTCTGCAACTCTGCATAGTCAGACACAGTCTGTACTGTGCTTAGAATCATTAGTGACATTCATCACCTTATTTTTCACTCCTTTCCAATTCAGTTTTGAATAATTTGAAAACAGGCATACCGAATGCAAGGCACTCTATAAGTCACCAATACTACTGTTTCCTATTCAGAATAGGCCCACCACTTCTCTGGAAGCTTCATGTGGAATGCAAATTCCAGAGAACATGCTAGCTAAAAAGTCATTGCCTTTAGGAGATGCAAAGTATTTTACATCTCTGACAATTAGAAGCAGTTCTCAGATCACACTTCTCCTCAGTTCAGATATCAGCAGGACTCAAAAGATCCTTCATCTTACAGATGCAAAATTTACTTCTTGCTATCTTGCCAAACCCCAATACTCTTTGGCTGCTTTTGGATATTCCACATGAGGAGTGTTTAATATCAAATTTACTTATTTGGTATAGTTGGCATTACATGGCAGTTCAATTTAGCAGAGTGATACAGAAATCAGTTGAAATCACAGCACGAGCAATATAGCAGTTGTGATGTTCAGCTGTAGTTAAATCTCTGTTGTAGTGTGATTGTCATTACTGGTCCCTCTGTGCTCACTGTCATGACACTGGGCATCCCCAGTGACCTGGAAAGAATACATGGATGAAAGCCAGCTCAAGTCTGTTGCTCTCTTCAAAATATATAATTTGTCCAATTTTTATGCTTTATGTTGTGCCAAGCTACCTATGCACTGCCCCATCACCCCCATCCCCCAGTGTGGGTCTGGCTGGCTCACAAAGGCATTGCTCTTAGTTAATAGTTTTGGAACCTGATGATTCACTGATGCAACTGTCTGCAACTAAAAGCAAGGTTACCATCCAATCTACCTGATAACAAAGTAAGTTCAGCTTCCTTTATATTACACTATTCCCTGATCTCTGGGGTTTGCCCTTCCTTTACCTCACTGCAGGTGTGTGTGGGTTGATTGCACAGCTGAACTGCCAAAACCCCTACTGTGTCCATCAGTCAGTGCATCCTGGTATCATGCATGGCTTTGCTTCCTTGAGCAACAGTAATAGACTTAGAGAAGCCCTTGCTGAATCATGTCACCACGCAGCTCAGGATGCTACAAGCAGCCTGATCTTGTTGTGAATAGCAAGGGATATCGGAAGCTATTGCTCTGTGAGCAGTAGCTCCTGCCTCACATTCCTGCTGAGCTTGTAACCTAAGCTTTTAAACTCGTAACAATTTTAATTTAAATGCATAAACATTTCCCATTTATTTCAAGCGTGTATATAAATGTGGCTATAGCTGTCTATAAACAAATAGGCCCTAAATGGTTTGGGTTTTTTTCTCTTATTTGTGATATGCTTTTAACATTGTCATATAATCATTTGAGAAATCACTACAGTAATTAGTGGTCACTATAGAGGCATGTGGGTAATATGGTTTAGTGGTTTAGGGGTTACAGTGATAGTGCTGGGTTTACAGTTGAACTTCATGATCTTAAGGGTTTCTTCCAACCTTGATGATTGTATGATTCTATAGTATATTAACATGTTGTCAACTACAAGGGGGAATATTAGCACTTCAAAATCTTTTATGAGCTCACAGGTCACTTAATACCTCATTTTCCTTAGTGTTTATTCTGCTGATTCTTGGCTAATTGCTCCTTTTTCTCTGAGTTTTTGCTTATTGCTTTTACTTCCCTTTCCCTGAGGCAACACTCCCTTTCAGCCAATTTCTACTCTTCGGGCATAGCTTGTACTCCTCTTTCCCCCGCGACTTTGTTGGAGGCAGAGGCCCCTCAAATTTTTTCTCTTTCAGAAAGAGGCTGACTCTCTTTATATTGCTCTTTCTGACAGGTGATTTCCATACCTACCAATACTACAAGTCTAGTAAATTTGTAACATTCTTATCTTCTGTCAACTCTTAGTCCTGACGAAGTTTGGCAGAACCTTGTTGTAAACAGCCCTTTCCAGCAAGGCAATAGTTCCTATTCCACGTGGACACAGTTGCTGCCCCTCACTCACACAACTTCTTAAATAGCTGGTGCTTAGCAGATCACTGAGTAGGTCAAATTAATAGAATGGAAGCAAAGTCAATGTAAGTAGCAGAGATCAGTACATAAATAGAATATTACTCTAAGAAAAAATGTGTCTGGTTTGATATTTATTTTAATTATGTGAAAAAAATGTGGATTTTAGTGGGGTATATCTTGTAAAGAAAGCTGTTTCTACTGGTAAAAGTTTGCACGATAAATTGCTTAGGAGAAGATTGCCTTAGTTAGCAAGATAAATATCTCTCACCCAGACTAGAGAAAGGTAATTTTACAGTAATTGGTCTTCACGAGTTAAAGTTGGCGTTTACCCTGACTGACCATTTGTTGAAAAGACAAGTACATGGTATTGAAAACAAGCAGTGTTCAAATCACTAAGGAAACCAGTGTCTAGATACTAGAACTAAACATTCTAAATCAGGAGGAAAAAATACTTCAAAGACATATTTCCTAAAAATTACAGCATTTATGAATTTCCTTTAGGAAATTTTCAAAATTTATGCTCTTAGATCCCAAAGAACACCTTTGAAAACCCCAGCTCTCAGAGGAAACAAAATCCTGTCCCATGCATCTGATGTGATGTGAGCTACACTTAACCCATTGGGGGAGGCAGGAAGGAATTCAAGGTGTTCTTGACACAGCGGTCCTTTATCCTGTGCTGAGCAAGCACCCTGCTGCTGATCACAGCAACACCAGGATTTATAGCTGATCATGATAGAAGTAGGTGACCTATCAAGATGCTTATATAGCATGCATACCCTTCAAGAATGCTAAAATCTTGATAGTCAGTTTATTAGTTTCAGGCTCAGTTATTAATTTCAGACAGTAGTACCTGTCTGACATTTCTGTCTCTTAAACAAAAAACAAGCAACTGCTGCTGCCACTGATGATTGTCTACTCTACAAATGTACTGATAGTCTTGCACTGTTTGCTGTGGCTGGAATTCTGGCTGAAATTGTTCCCTCCCATCCCTAGAGGACGAGTCCATCCTCTGTGTATGAACCCTTCATTCTGGATTCTCACTCACTGCATAATGACTTTGCAGCCTAATCATTGAACTCTGGTCTTGAGACTATTGTTATTAGTCACTGGAGTAGGAAATCAAAACCAGCTCCAGCCATCAGCCAGGAACTTAGGACACTCCTCCTGCTGCAGTGTTACAGGTTGAATCACCAAGCTTCCTCACACATGCTGTATTTCTAGCTTCATTTCCCTATGTAAATGCCCAGGAGGAAGTATTTCTGCATTAGGAAAGATGGAGACAGTAACATCCTCACTCAGCTTTATAAGCTAACAGTCAGGATTGTCTCTTGAGAAAAGGATTTTGACTCAGGCTATGAAGGAAGTTGAACACAGGGCTTGAATTTTCTGGTTTAGTGCTCTGACTAGGAGAGTTGTACTGCCAACAGCCAGCACACCCAGCAACAGCTGGTTTTGGAAAACTAAAATAGCTGCACACACATTTTAACTCCATGTGCCAACAAACCAGATCTTGATAGGAAATTGATGTGCCACTCTACTTACATTTGGATCCTTATTAACTTGTACGGGAGCTGGGAGGTTCCTTGCATAGGCCACAGCAAGCTTGGTAATACGCAGACAAGGGTTGAAAAAACACAATGGCAAAGTCAATGGTCTCAAAAGGAAGCACAGAAAATTCCATTTTAACATAAGAAAAACTACTTCACTGTGAGGATGCTTAAATACCACTTGGGGACTCTCCATCCTTAGAGATTTTCAAAACCTGACTGGACAAGATCCAGAGCAGCCGTTTCTAGTGGATTCTATTTTGTGTAGGGGATTTAGACCAGGCAGTCTCCAGAAGTCCCTTCCAACTTCAATTATTCTGTGTTTCTGTGAGCACTGAGAATTTGAAGGCCAAACAGAAAGGCAAGCTCTGACCCCAGACTAAGCTTTTTGTTCTTGAAACTCAGATAAATCCTATTCTCAGTGAGGATTTTTGTACCCAAATCCTCACTGAGATCAAAGCAAAGAAAACCAGCTGTGAGAATTTCCTTTACACTTGCATGTATTTTATTTCATGCATTAACATGGTTAAACTTAAAAAGAAATGTGTGTGGTGTGGGGGTGGATGGGTGTGTGGCTGGATGGGTGTGGGGGTATGTGTGTGTGTTAAAAAAGGAGCAACAAAAAGAGGGAGGGAGCTTCCTTGCAAGAAAAAATTAAACTCAAGGGCTGGAAAGCTCAGAGCAGTTCAAGTCAGAAAGGAAACTTTCAAATCTACACTTTGGACAGATTTTAAAGCGTGAAATAAGTGGAGATGGAAGGGCTACAGACAAAAAAAAAGTTAAATACCCTTCCACAGTTACTTTCATTTCCTTGGCTACAGTAAAATAAGGACTAGTTAGCCAGTCAGCCAAACTGGCAAAGAAGC